TTTCCTTCAACGAAAACACCCTAAAATATAAAATCATGAAAAGTTCCAAAATTGGCCATGTCTAACTGACTCGACAAAATCATAAAAGCATGATGGATACTCGCCCTCGAGATCAATACTTTTGAATTTGATCAGAACTGACATTCCAACTGGAACCGCAATGTTCCATGTGGCTTTGACGTTATTTGGATAGTTATCAGGAAATAGCGGGCTGTTAAACCAACCAAGGGCACCACTAATGTCATGCAGGATGATGCCTGAAAAACAAATTAACCTACTGAAATAAGTATGATTGAAATGAGGCTGTTCCAAAACTGTTAAAATGAACATCAAGACTGAAAGTTGAAGACTAAAGATATATCGAAAAAAGTCCAAATTCGTTAAGCAATAACTGCAAGACGCTTAAACTACACACAGTACTAACAGCACCGATAACATCACGCAAATAAATGCATACTAACAAATCATGTGTATTTCCATAATATCCTTAACAGCTCGTAAGAAGTTTAGTTTTTGAAGTCACCTAGTCGGCATGGGCAGAGTCACGACAGAAAATTATCGAATGGTAAGGTATATACCAGTTGGAAAACTAAGCGACGACCGAATCAGATGCTGCACAAATGAATGGTTTCAAATATGACGGAACGGCACTGAGAGAAAAACCAATTGAAATATCTCATAAAAAGATCGCATACGCCTATCGGGTCAAGATTTCGTAGAAGACGAATCAGCACCTGGGGAATTTTAGAGATATTGTTTTAAATTTTACAATTTTTTGTTGCAGGTTACGTTTGAAACCGATATTTCTGGTGTTGCTTTTCAACCGGTTAATAGGGTGTGAAATATCTCGCACTGTATAGTGATCACCGAAACCGATTTAGAAAGCCGTCATCAAAAACATGCTGGGCTGAGGAAACTTCTGCCATATGACTATTTTGTGAAGTTTACAACAAGACGTTGAGTAACCTCACGATTTAAGAACTCGCTAGGAGTGACTATTTTGAACACAGTGAGCGCGAAAGGCCCATCCAAGGTTCTTCTGCCTAAGAAATCAGTAAACGAGGGAGGTTGCTGAGCCCTGAGAAAAGGCGTCATTCTTGATCAATAAGAAAAAAACCTGATAATTTTGACAGATGTTTAAATCCTGCACGTTACCAACAAGGGTCAGAGTTCACAACTGACAGAGTTTCGAAATTTTCGGTACTCATTACTGTTAGGTAGATTTACTAATAAGCGGCGGTTCAGAACGTTCGTTCCTTGTCTGGCCCAGGTAAGTTGGGTGATAGCTGCCATTCGGTTCGTCGGTACAAACTGGAATGTAGTGGCAGCCACGAAAGCTCATTTCCCACCGACGGAAGGAACAATGGTCTGCTCTAACTGCAAACCAGGACAAAAACAGTGCAGCCTTTTACCGCATTAATCTCAACAGAACGAGGGTAAGTTTCATGTCATCCACTATGTTAGCAATGGATAACTACCAATGGCAAGAGAGAAGATTATAAGGAAGTTTTTGAACGATATTCAAAAATAGAATAACGTTATAACGACTAATAACATAACGAAATGACGAAAAGTAAATACGGCAGGCCAGAAGCGGTTTACTGGCCCAGGAGCCCAGTCGTTCGCCATAGCTTCGTGATAGAGAAGTATGTGGCATACTGCCTATTAGAAGAAACGTCTGAGTAACGTTACCAGCAGAACAGCATAGATCGACTACAATAACATCTGGCACCTGTAGAATTTTGCTGCGTATTATGAATCAGTGCCAAAGATCAGGTAGGACAAAATCGCATGGAGAGCATTTCACAATAACTCCGTGCGGTAATTGACTGACTGACTCACATGGGCAATTGCCAACCTATTTGTTGAACAGTAGCACATATATGGATATAGAAATCCGGTCAGACGTTGCAGTATAAAACTTTACAAGTTAACACCTTAAAAATTATCGGTGACTTAAGAGTTGTCGCTATGTGACTGAGTCGATGTTGCACATTACATGGGGCACCGTTAAGCATCTTATACGACAGTGGCATGCCGTTATCTTCATCTAATGAATAATCCGTAAGCAGCTGAAGACAGATCCTCATCACAAGATGTACGCTAAACCATGGTTGGCAGAAACTTAAACTGCCCGCTTCGCTAACATGGGTAGCATTTCCAAACTCTTACGCCTTAACGTTACCCAAATTGGCACATTCTTGTCCCAACACCTATGAACGGGTGACAAAACTGACCATATCTTACGCGTCCAAAAGGGAAAGATGAAAGAAAACTGTTTACGATACGTGAAGCACTGATAACATATTGCTGCGATTTATATAACGCTGTTAAGCATGCCTCGGGAACAGCAGAAACGCAAATGTGTCGAAATCAAAGCGATATGTCATGGAAAGTTTACAATCATATAGGAAACGAGAGATTCCATCAGTTATGTGCACCAGATCGTTGGCGGTTGGGCAATTGATGAAAATCAAACTGTCATGTTCAGATGGTCAATGAAAAAAACAAGCCAAGCAACATATGAAAATATTTTCTTACGAAGTAAAATGAACTGCGGGCACACAGGAAAAGCTAGCAAGTACCAGCTGATAAGACAGTGTCGCTATGAACAGAGTAGTGAAATAAAGTAGAATAGTGAAAAATGAACCAAAATCACATGTTTAACAGATTTTAAGTTACCACTATCGAAACAGTGTACAAAAAGCTAAGGTCATGAAAGATTGCGAAAGCACAATCGAGTATCGCTAAAGAAGCCATTCAAGTAAACTAATTAACTTGGAATTAAGATAATTAATTTAGAACAATACCGTCACAATTGTCTCCAAGCAAACCGTGGTCGCAGACGCACTTTGTTTTTCTCGAAAGGTAATCATTCTCACAATGTCTACCCGTTGGGCAGTGGACGTGATCCATTGTGCATTTGTCTGAATTAGTCGTCAAGTGAAAACCGCAATTCAATATGAATGGCGCAGATACCGAGCCCGTACGCAACAATTAAACTGCTATCGGAATGATGGGATCTAGAAAATTCCACACGCACCACGCTCGAACTGAAAACCATTGACTTTGTCGGTAACCCGTTATCACACACCCTACAGAGACATGCGATTAAAGAAGCAGCAAAAGTAGAAGCAAAGAGTACCGCCCGAGGAAGGCCATCTCAATTGTTTCGTCATTCATCTAAAATACGATAGAATAGTTTTCTGCTCGTCATATTCTCCTCTTACCGCATAGAAGGATAACCAGTTACTCCTACACTGATCATCATCAATTGAAAATTTATGAATTATCATCCAGATGGAAGCGTCGTAGTCCAACGATATTGTCCAGCTAAAATCCAGCATGAAGTATAGATAACGATACAACACGGTCAGTTTCGTTTGCTCAAAATGAAACAAATTCACAGTTACAATATGCATCTGAACTTCATTGGTGTATAAACAGTATTACAGTGGAAAGAAAACAATCATTCCTACAGAAATCTATTACTGAACAATCGCAGACTAAGTACAGCGCAAACAATTGGAAATGAGTACCATCCAATTGGATGGCTATAATTGCGTGTCCCAGCAGAAAAATTAACAGTCATGACGTTTGGACAAAAGGCTGCAAACACCGTTCGTATAGATGACCGTCACAGAATACGCCGCTTATACAAATGAGTACCATCCACGTTAATAATAAGCGAACGAACAGAAGGATACACGTTTTACATGCAAAAGAATCAAAGGGTGAATTACGCTGAATGAGCTTACCAGGTGTGCCTGATAGGACCGCTTTCAAAGCAGACTCGCCCATTAGCAGCGACATGAACAATTCGTGGAATAATGTGACGAACAAAACGATGATTACTTTGCGCCTATTGATGGTCAATTTTTCTCTGCAAGAATTGAACAAAAGTTTTCGTAGTACGCAGAGAAAAACTGCCTACGCCAGTACCCTGATCTCTGTATTCTTATGCGTAAATTTTTCTTTGCAGTGCTCGCTGTAGTGGAATTAGTTTCCTATCTGTGTCCTCTAACCGGTTAAACACTACACACAATCGTTTTTTCTGCTGTACCGCATGCGACTATAAGTGATTTACTAGTCTGCACACAGTTTTGAAAGAAGAACAACGAAATTTCGACTCAAAAAGCGAAAAAATGCTTTGATCACCAGCGACCACTGAAATTAACAGCCAGTAGTGATGTCTCAGTCTGCATAACACCTATATATGACATGAAGTGAAATAAGCTTTCAGCAAACAAATCGAAGGTGAATGCCACTGCCGACTGTCAAAGATAAGCTTTCAATCGATTAGTTACACAGCCATTACAGCAAATCATCGCAAGACGTTGGTAGCTGTCGGAAGCTATTAACCGAACACTTGTGCTTCTTAATGGGCCTGGTTTCGCTGTAAATCTACAAATGAAAACTGGGTAGTGGGCGAAACCTGGATATTACCTGAATACCACGATAGGGCGAAGATATCTGATAAGCGATGCGACACTGTTGATGGCGTAACGAGATTAATGCGGAAATTCTAATTCGAAGGCAAGAATCTTCGCTGATTGGATTCGTGAACCTTTCGTAGCATCTGGCCAAAGCCATAAATCCTCAAAGACTGTAAGAAAGGCGTCATTTCCCTCAACGACGCCGTAAAGCCTAACTGAAAGACGTCACTGCTGATGCGCTGCAGACTAACTACATGGGCGTCTGAAGCTGACACTCGTGCACAATGTAGTGCAAATCTGTGTATTAAAACCGATTACCGAGCAATGCAGGAGATTCCAACTTCCGTAGAACGCGATGTTAATGAATCTTCAGACATCATTCGACTACGGTGATCGTCTGACCGTGTCAAATATTATTAGTCACTATGGTATTCAACAAACGATGATAAACTTATAAACTTATAAATAAACTTATAAACAGACGATGATACAATTTATGTACAAAACAAACAACTGCGCCGTCTGAAATGAAGGATCATGTGTCGAATTGGTTCAACCCCAGCAATGGAATCCACCAAAATATTGCCTCCTTTGCTGTTTAACATCATGATGGATTGTGTAACGCTGAAGTTCATCATCCCAAGTAATAACAAAGAACAGACCATTAGGGAGCGTCGCAGCTCAAAATACTTTGCTACTAACAGCTCGTACGCCTACGATACTGTGCTGCTGTGCGACTCCTTAAGCGGCTTACAGACATTTACTGAAAGGATGTGCAACGCAGCTGTGGGAAAGGAACGGGCAATTAGTCAACGTCAACGTGAAGACTACGAGAACGAAAGCCACAAAGTGTTAACGAAGGCTGCTATGGCTTGGTATTGCGATGGAACAATGGAAAAAATAGACCATTCCGAGTGAATCAAACTAATGACAGCTGAAAAGTCATTCTGTAAAGGCAGAATGTGAGAAAAATTCTACCATTTTGAAACATGCTGTTACCCACCAACACAACATCTCATGGGACAAAATGAAAGGCGTCACGAGGGAACAACAATATCTTTCCCGCAAGGTCAAAGAAGCGTTGCTGATCAGAGCAACCAACTGTATCAACCGTGATCTTGGAACAGGCGTCAGCGACTCTTGGACCGTAAACATCAGGAGGCCAATCAAAACCAGTAAACAAGCAGGGCACCAGTAATATAAGGAAAAATATTACGAGCCCTTGTTAATGTGCTCTGAAAACGGACCGAGTTTGGTCCGAAACTTCAGATGTCTCTAATTAAAGAACATTTTATGCGTAGTCATTCCGTTTGTGACTTACCAAAGGATTATATCATCTCCCGCATAAAGAAATCATGTATGATTTTCAATAATGACAGCTAATAAATATATGATCGATTCTGAATTTCACCAGCTAAGACTTTGACGTCGGCGAAGTTATGCAAGCTGCATGAAAATTGGAAAATCCAAATTTTCACCATGCTGAACGTAGTTGTTTCGAGGTGCTCGTGTATGACCTCTAGGAATCTGCGATCCTGAAACGCCACGATGTTCGTCTCGACGGTTTCTGACAAGGTGTTTCCTCCAAGTCTGAGGGTACGAAATAAGCAGGTGTTAACTACTTGAAATCTGAGAAAACAATCAGATAAACTCATAGACTAATGCATGGCTTGGTTTGTCGAAACAGCCCAGAAGTGAATGGAACGACGCTAAAAATCTTTTTCACAAAGTAATCCACTGGTCACATATGTGTTGAAAGATAATACGAAGAAACACTTGACGATCTGCCTGAGAAGAGGAGCAGTACGTTCAGTCGCAGCAATGAAATCCGTTTGGTATCAACCTGAAATATGATGGTCAAGGTCAGGCATCCTAAATCTTGCTGCTTTTCTGTTTAAGCTCTGCTAGACTCGCATAATGATCACAAAGGAAAAACAAGGTTTTCCAAATAATTAACAACTACAGTTGACTCAGAAAATGGGCGCATCACTTTCATCAAAGATTAAATTACAAACTTATTTCAAACCTGCAAGGATTCCGATTACCACGAAATGGCAAAGCGAATCCTCCATATGAATTAACGAACGTTGCGGAGCAAACTTCTACAACATCAAGCGTATCAGTATAAACGGATCAAAAGCACTTCAACGAACCGTCTACACGATACTGGCAAAATTTTCCATAGTAGTTCTCGTAGCAATAGCACTGCTGATATGAAGAAGAGCAGTAACCCTTTGCTCCACATGGGTTTTCGTTGCACCAAGACGGAGCTAAATATCATTCATTCTCGTGGCATCATATCATGACCGCTGGAAATGTTCATTACCGCTAAACATGCAAATTGCACTGAATCCATATCCCTTATCTTCTACGGCAGTAGTGGAACCAGTTTTGAGGCTGATTGAACCTTCACTATAGGGGAAAACTACGTCTTCATTAGACCTATTTCCACATAACCTAAAATGACACGCATTTTGTAGTTGAAACCGCAAAACAGAGCTTCGATTACGTCATTGTCGCAGGCGCGGTGCTATGCAAAACTAATGAGTCCGTGATGCCGCAGCTCTGACCATTCCTTGGTAAGTAGAACTGTTGAAACTTCAACACCAATAAACTACGGTATCCACTGTTGAAGTACCAGACTTGAGATACATTAGCTACAAGAAGAAACATAGTCATTAAAAAAATATCCAAAACAACGTACCAGGATAATATTTAGGAAATATTGGCGAAGATATTGCATCGAATGAATATACTGTCGACGGTTGACATTGAACTGAAAGTGAAAACCAATAACTGAACTAATTAACATCAGAAAGGCATCGTATTGAGCATATACCATTATCACACAATACGCCAGATATATCGCAGCCGTTGTAATTAAGGCATGTACATTTAAAGGTACCCAGACTCCTTTCGCAGGTGCCGTATTTGCACGGCGACGGCTGGCAGTAATCGATTTCTAGGCAGCCAACCATGAAAAGACAGCTGTTTTATTATAGCACAAGTATACCTGATTCACAGAACATTCCTGTGTAGCCTGCGGAGCAGTCACATACTGCTTGGCCATCCTTAATCACACAAGCGCCTTCATGCGCACAGTAGAAGTACGTACACGGACTGATATCTAAACCGCCACTTTATATATATATGCCAATGGAGCATATTCATGGCATACATCTGCTGCAGTTCAGGCCATCATAGTTTTGCTTACAACGGCATAAGTGTGTAGCGTTTATCTGATCGACACATTCTTCATTGGGAAACGGACACTTACCGGTAAGGCATTCATTTTCATCTAAGGTCATTCAATCTCGAAAATCGTGAATATTACCATAGTTATAAATATACCAAATACGTAGTTCATTTCAAAGCCTTTATAGCGCCATTCGCTGTATTCATGGTCCGTATGATATTTCATTAACATCTTGTTACTTG